TGGCTGGGGAGCTGCCCTTTCTTTCCCAGGAAGCCCAGCGAATGACAAAGAGAGGCTACTGATCTGCTGAGGGAGCACGGGCGTCAGAGGGTCTGCAAGAGTCCTGACAGCTTAGCAAATCTTGACTTTGTTTTATTTGAACGAAGAACATGAAGACGGGCAGAAACCAGCTGTTCCTGTGGAGAGGGGGGAAGCAGCAGAGTTTGAGGCGGGGAAACACCTACATTTTGCACAGGGACAGCTAAAAAGAGATAAGCAGCCTTGGATGGAGCTAATAATTCTAGAGTCTGGATCTTTCAGAAGAGAAGAAGCAGGCCTGTTCTCAGCATTTCCCTCCTCCTCCTTTAATACGCAGTGCGCCCTGCACCCACTGCAGGGAGAGCGCGTTGGGAAATGGTGGTAGGCAAGCCAACAGACAGAACTGTCGCATCCAAGATACTTCTGCCACCATCTTCGCGTCATTCATTCCTGTCAACCTCCTTCACACTCCAGGTCCATTGCCAGGTTGCATGACACTTACAGCTGCCCTGCAACAAGTCGTAGCCTAGTTTCCAGAGGAAACATGACCCACACCGTGTTTCCATGGCAGAGCCAGTGGGCCAGTTGGAGGGTGTCTGGGAGCCTTAGAAAACGAAGGCTTTCGTCCTGCAGCCTCGGTGCCAGTTACAGCGGCTGTCTGTCCCGCAGTCTGCTTCCGTGCCCAGGGACACGGCTGATGGGAAGCCTTTCTGCTTCTCTGACCATAGGATATAATCACAGGCTCCGTCCTTGTTAGTTGCCACCCTCTGCCCCAATCAAGGCACTCTTACTCCTAATCCATTAGTTATATCCACCCCAAGATCCCTGCCAGGATTAGTCTACCATCCTGCAAGGTGCTGGGTATTTTTAGGCAACCAACGCGAGAGAAAAGCAAACGCCAAAATGGGAGGTGTGGGAACGAAAGTTTTCAGTCATCTTCACCAAAATCCTCCAAAACAAGTGGACAATTTTCAATGAGAAGTTCACCATCACACAGCACATAACTTCTGACCCAAAGCCAGCGTTCTTTGGGGCCACAGTGAAATTCTCTGCCATAAGAAATCATGGGTGAATGTCCACAGGTTCATGGTAATGAGCTTCATCATCTCAGGGATTGTCCTACTTTAAACCATGTTCACTTCCACGGGAAACATGTGCTCTCCTGCTGAGTGACTCACACCACCAGTAAAAAAAAAAAAAAAAATTCCCCCTGCCCATCAATGGCACAGAGTCTCTGAGTCAGAAGACCCATCTCTTCCCTCCAACCTCTCACCTGGCAAAGTGCAAATCAGTGTGAGACAGCTCACAGACCATCAGGGAGACCCTGGATGTCGACAGGGGAACTGGGCCTGGGCACAGAAGGGCTAGAGCTGGTAGGCACATGCTATAGAGAATGTGGAATGACATTCAGAGCAGCCAATTCCTTGAGGAAAAAGAGAACCCTTTTGTGAGATCTATTAGATGAGTGAGACAGAAAAGGAGGAATCGCATAAAATGTAATACCACATTTGAAATCAGATTAGCATTTTCAAAAAGGTTATGGTCTCCACAGCAGAAGAGAGTGCCATGAGAAAATAAAATTATCTCCCGATGCAGATGTCGCTTCCAAGAAAAATGAAACACATTCAGAGTGGGCTGTTGACATGCCGCCATCTTTCATGCCAAATCTGGGCTATCTTAGGCAATTCCTCCCATAAGAACTAGACCTTGCCTATTAGGAACCAGATAACATTACCCCCAGAAAGTTAGAGAGTCCTACGAGTAGAAATTAAATCATCCCTTTTATTTAACTCATCTGTCTAGCCCAATCTGATTAAAGACCAGTAACATGCAGTGTTAAGAGACTACTAACAGCACATAAGGGTGCACATTACCTTCCAAGTCCAGCCTATGAAGGGTGTCTAAGTCTCAAAAAGCACAGCACGCCAAGTCTTCCAAACCCTCAAGCATCCTGCAAGGGCACGCGTCAGTTGGAAGCAGGTCTTGACACGTCTTCTGAACCTTCCTTTTCTCAAAATGCGCCCCTTACAGTGAGCGGAGAAGTCCTTCCCAAACTTTTCATGTGCATACGAATCACCTGGGGACCTTATTCAAATGCAGATTATGGTTTAGAAAATCCGAGTGGGGCTTTGGGATTCTGAATGTCTATCAAGAGGTGATAGGAATGCTGCTCCTTGCTGTCTTTGAGAAGTAAAAATCTAGAAGACTTAGTTCACCTGGAACTACGACCCCGCCCTTAAGGTATGCTGGGATGTCTGAAGGACTTCACTAATAATAATAGCTAGTGTTTAGTGGGTATCGGGCAATATTCTAGGAACTTGGTACATATTAACTCACGGAGTTCTTCGGGTAAATCATGATCGTCTTCCTCATTTTACCAATAAGGAAACCGAGTCGCAAAGTAATGAAGTGACTTTTCAAGGTCACAGAGCTGCTGAAGGAATGGGACTAGAACCCAGACAGCCTGGCTCTAAAGCTTGACGGGTAACTGAAGCTCATGCTAACTCCCATTGGATTAAAGCAAGGTATTCCTGGGAGCTGGGTGTTGCTAGAGGAAGGGAAGTGAGACTAGGAACTTGGATGCAGGTGGTAATAGAGAGAGCGCAGACCGTGCTAAAGCACAATGTTCCCACGTGGTCACCACCAGAGGGAAGGTATGTCAGTTACGTTGTACAGTCAGGAGAAAAAAAGCAAACATGGTGTATTTTAAATTGGCCAACCAGGCTCCTCTACACACCTTAGCAGATGTTGTCTGAACACTGCTACAACCGCCTACACGCTGTAGAACCACTGGGAAACTCCCAGCCATGAGGCTAGAAGAGACCATTGGGACAGGCTCTCAGCCAAGGCACTGAGCATGACGCTGAAACCCGCTCTCTGGCTGCCCTCTGACTCCTAGCCACTCGTCCTGGCCAGAGACAAGAAAACGGAGGAGTAAAACCCGCAGTTCCACCTGGCGCTCTCAGCCTAGCAGATAGGCGGTGTCTTTGCGGTGGAAGAGGAGACGTGAGCAGCAGCAACCGCGTGGTGTAGGAAATGTGCAGGAGATCCCAGCCTGGGAAGCGCCCCAGGTGCTGAACCTGGGTGACTGTGGCGCCCCAGCCTCCTGGGGATTTCCATGGCGCTGTCCGAGGTGCCAACAATGCCTGTGGGCACTTTGCCACCCTCAGCTGGGTGGCTTTGTCTACCCCAAGGAAACAGAGGGCACCTGAGTAAACGCGCCCCTAAGAGAGGTGCACGTTGAAGCAGCACCTAGTGGGTAGGAAATTTTAGGGAACTGTTGAAGGCGGAAGGGAGAGGGGGCCCTGTTGGGAAATCAGAGACCTGACTGGAGGAGTGTTTGCAGCCGCAGCATGCAACACAATGAGATCTGTCTGCTTTGTGCAGCGCACTGGCGGGCGGGGCTGCAGAGACCTGATCCTCTCCCTCCCCAAATCCCCCCACCCTAGATACGGTTAACTCGGGCACCGCATGGCCCCATCACTCTGCGTGGGAGGGAGGGGAAGAGGGAGGGGAGTACAAGGAGGAGGAGAGAGGAAGCCCAGCCCAGCCCGGGTGGCTGTAGGAGGATGCGTGCAGCAGCAGGAATAATATCTGCTTAGAGATGCTCCTTCATTTCTAATGAGGGGTGCTGCCTGGAAGTACCATGCGCCAGCCAATCACAGTGCTGCTGAGGCAGGAACTAGGGAGGAAGGAGGGGAAGACTAGAGACGGGGGGTGGAGGGAGCAGGAAGAGGCCCTTAGGAGAGAGACAGCGTGCCTAGCTGACACTAGGGACCCAGCAGGGCTCCAGCTGTCTGTGATGCACACCTGGAGGGTGGGGGTGTGGAGGAGGGAGGGAAGGGGGAAAGGGCGGGGCCTCCTTTGCAGGTGCATCCTTCCCAAGAAATCTCTCTCCACAAGCATCCAAGTCCCATGTCTCCAAGCTACCCCCATAATTACCACCACCCCACTGACTGGCTTCCTACTAATCCCCCGCACCACCCACCAACGCCCAATTCCTAAAGATCTTGCCAGACGGACGCCCAAATTCTTAGTGAAGAACAAGGCAGTGAGATGCCTAATCAGCAGCCTGCATTTGGTGCACTTGCTTAAACCTGCAAAGACGCTCCTTCTCTGCCGTTCACCCCGGCCCTGCACCATCAGCCGCCCCACCAGCCCACTGTGGAGAGCAGTTCCTTTGAAGCCAGGGGGAGAGCGATTGCGGGCACACCTCTGGGCTCCGCCGATGCAGCCTTCAGCGGATGAATTCAGGCCCAGCAGATCCACCTGGATCCTGGGCGCTGGGAGAGCACTCAGTGGGGTCCCCAGCTCAGGACCACGGAAAGCAGGGACCCTGGTGAGCTGCTCTTCCCTGGCTCAGAAGAGAACTCCAGCTGAGCTCTTTGGGCTGTGCCATTAGAGACTGCCTCCCCTGACGCACTCCTTCACTTTACTCTCAGTGCAACTTCCCCCCAGAGTTAGCTGGGTCCCCAGGCAAAGCCTGTCTGATTTCACCTATGGGTCCATGTGGGGCTTAGCCCAGAGCTCTTGAAGTTGCTGAGCTGGACCTCCCCTGTGGGCAGATAACGCAGGTGTCCCTCCAGCTGGTGGGGATGGGGGTGACTCTGAGGTAGGAAAAGGGGGACAGGGTATGAAAGGAAGCCCTGAGTTTAGGGCAACCCTTTCGATGTGAAAGGACTGGGGGGAAGGGGGCTGGCAATCACACAAAACCTCAACACCCTGCGCCCAGGGATGCTAGAAACCGCCACACAGGAAAAATCAGAGCCCAAAAGTCTTACCTTGAAAACCACCAGTGCCCACACTGGTCTCTATGGCACCAAGCTTGCCCCTTACATGCGTCGAAGTAACGAGTGCACATCAGCAAAGGGGCAAAAGGGCATCAGGAAGGAAATAGGGGGGCAGATTCCACGCTTGGTTTCCCCTCTCACCCAAGAAATGCAAAGGGGGAGAGGGGAGTTATGGTGGGCAAGAAAGGATATGGCCAATCGATGAGCTTCTTGGCGTATTTCCTGACAATGTTATCTTCTCCGAAGATGAACAGGGATCTGTTGACGGTGAAACAGTTCTGCCGGACAGGAATGGGGTTGTACAAAGCCATAGTCCGCGCCCTCTGCGCTTTCGACTGCTTGTAGGCGGCCGCCTGCCCGGCGGCAGGCACCGGGGTTCCTTGCCGGTTCCTGCTCTGGTCCGAGTCTCCATCGCCAGACCCCGGCCTGCCGACCACTGCCTCTCCGAAGCGAGCCATCCTGAAGTTTAAACAGACAGAAGACACACAAAGGTGATCGCGGCCGAACACCTGCACCCAGCAACAAGCAGAGAGACACGCGGAGACTCAGAGCCGCATCCAGACGGGCGGGGGACCGCCGCCTCCCGGGAGCCTTTCGAGCTCTTTGGAGAGGCAGCAGCAGCAGCAGCAGCAGCAGCGACCCGCTGCTCCGAACTGTTGAATCTAAATACAACCTCTGCAAAGCTCCATTCCTCAAGGAGTTAAAAAAGGGGGAGGAGAAGGCTGGCAAGGGGGTGGGGGTGCTCAGTTTCTGGAGGCAATTTTTTTTTTCAAAATGCCAGTGTGTGGTGGCGTTCCAGGGCTGGAGAGGAGAGGGGTGGAGCAGGCTGCTCTTCAAACACAGCTCAGCTCTGGCAGACCACCACCTGGTCCTGGGAGCGGCGGGCACCGGCCTGCTAGGTAACAGTTTGGTGATTTATTAATGGGGGAAGGAAAAAAATGAAAACAAAAGAACTTTCACAACAACAAAAAGACAAGGACAGGGTTGTGGTGACAGGCTTTAGAACACCAGCCCCTGCAAGTCCATCCAAGATATTCCACGGCCAAGACTTGGGTCTTTAAATCTGCCAGCACAGAGGCATCCAAAAAGGTTGAGAGAGAGAGAGAGGAAGGGGGGAGAGCGGTACAGAGGTTCCTGCGTACACCGCAACGCCCAAAATCTCAAAATAAGTCGATCCAACCGGAGAGAGACCAATGACTTCCAAGCTCCTGCGCCTGGGAGAGAAGTTGAGCGGCGTCCAGAGAGCAGCGAAGCCCGGGTGCCAGCATCCGCCCGGAGCGCAGCGCTGGCCGCGGCCGCCTCCCCGGATCAGCATGCAACAGCGATCCGCGGCTGCGCGGGAGAGGGCGGGAGCCGCGCGGGCGGCGGCGGCGAGCGCTGGGGCGAGGGAGGAACAGGTTGCAGCAGAGCTGAGCGGTGGCCTGCCCGCCGCGGGAGCTGTCCAAGGACCGAACTTGCTTACTGTGGACTCGTCTTCCTCTTCCACTCCAACCGCGGGCTCCGCGGGGCAGGGGAGAAGGGGCGGGCGGAGAGGCGGAGGGAGCAGAGCGCGCCGTTGCTGGCGCGGCCTGCGCGGGGGCTCCCAGGGAAGCGGGGGCGGGGCTGGCGAGGCTGGGAGGAGCGGGGATGGAGCCGGAAGGACCCTAGCCAACGGCCTGGAGGTCCCTGGGATGCAGGACTGGTTTGGCTGACTGAGCCAGAGGGTAGAGGACCAACACCTCTGCAAAGGTCCGGGAAGAGTGGCTGTTCCCCACGTGAGGCCAAGAGGAGAGGGGCGGGTGCCGCCGGCGGCCTCTCTGCAGGAGCCGAGGCCTGGCGGAGGCACATAGGCACGCTTGCATGCACCGGCGCCTGTGCAGGGGCCAGGTCCATGCGCTGCCTGGCCTGCTGCCCTAACCCGGAGTCCATGCCTTTGCGCCCTGCACAGGGTGTACCAGGCCGAGTCCGCGCTCCCAGGGAGCTCCCAAACTCCACAAATGCTGCCCAGGGATTTCCACAGAGGAAGCATCCAATCTGTAACTCCCCGCTTAGCAGCCTGGAGGTCCCCTGAAGGACCCTAGGACTTCTGGGGGCGCCACACTCTGGTGCAGGTACCCGTTACCAGCATGAGTATCTACCCTCACTTCCTCCCTCTCCAAACAGGGCGATCTGGGGCAGCCTCTTGGATTTGGCTGTAGCTCCTGGAAGGGTGGTCCAGACGTCGGGGCCCTAGATGGCGAGTTCTGGACTAAAACTACCCTCCTCGAAATCTCCTTAACAATCAGGAGGATCCTCCCGTTCCTATTTTTACCCCCACACTGACTTCCTCAAACCCAGTACATTAGTGAAGATAAAAAGAGAATTAGTATGTGAGCTGCAGAAGTGGGTAAGGTGGACTCTAAGCCCTAGAGAAAGGCCCCCTAGGTTTAGCAACCAAGCCCTTCACCACAAGTGACTCAGTGGTTTTCGGATCAAGGACAGATACCAATTGTCCCTTTCCATGTCCACTAGCTAGAACACACCTTCCCCTTTTCCTGCCTTGGCCTCAACAACACAGTCCTATCCAAACATTCCCTACGCAGGCAATGGGAGAGGAGTTTCTTCCCTCCCCCTTCTCTTGGAAATCTGGGTGAATCTGGCTTCCCTCCTATGAAAGGCAGTGTCTCTGTGTGAGGTGACCTGGTGGGAGGGGCCATGTGTGTTCCTACGTGTATGTTTCTGTGTGAGAACAAGGCCATGTGAGCACTGACAAGGGTCTTCTGTGTGCAAATGTATGTGCATGTGTGAAGGGAGATTCTTTGAGTTCTGGAAAACCAAAGGACTGGTCTCAACACGTCCACCCCGCCAGGCACTGCTGCTCTTGGGGACAGCATGTTGACCTTTTGATGCAGGGGAGCCCATTTCAGGGCAAATTATGGTTAAAGGTGAGTCAGTTCTGATCAGTATAGGGTTTTCACATGGCTGCCTCACCCTGTTCTTCTACCTACCTTAACGGGAGGGTCCTTTTCTGTCTGAAACCCTAGTCAGAAGGAAAGGGAAGATGATGCCATGAACCATGAAGCCCCCTCATCCCGTTAGTCATTGAGAGCCAGTCCCCAGTGGCTGTCTCAGGAACCCCGTAATATATAGAATCTGAAAGGGCATTCAGAAAGGACCATGATCCATGGCACAAAATTCATTCAAATCATTCATTTGGCAAATATTTTTGAGCACCAGGCACTGTTTTAGTCACTACAGATACAATAATGAACAAAACAGATGACAAAAATAACGTGTCCTCTCCTTGGATGAAATCAGTTGCCTCAACCTGACTGGCTAGAATGCTTGATGGGCCTCCTCACACCGCGACTTCACCCCTGCCCTCATGTCCCGGCGCTAGCACGCTGGACAGTGGCAGGCCTGTCTGTTCCTGCTCAGAGGAAGCAGGGCTCACCAAAGTTTTTCCTCCCAGAAGAGGTTCTTGGGTGATCAGGAACCCTTGGCTTGTGTCTTCACTCATGCCCCCTCCTCTCTCTACAGTGTCCTGTGTCCTCTGTGGCTGCGGGACAGGGTTTTACACACAGAAATGTGAGGACACACTGGAGCTGAGACTTGCCTTCCTGTCTTCTGAGGAGACATGAATCGCAAATGCACGGGTTGGTGTTAGTACTGAAGACCCTTAGGAGGAGGAGCACCTCCTCAGGGGTTATAAGTGGGAATTCTTGCAGCTCAGGGGGACAGAGGCAAACATGACGGCACAAATGGCTTTGGGAGTGGACTTGGCCTAAGGGAGGAAGGCACACGCTCACATTCTTCCAACCTGGCATTCACAGCCCTTAAAACTTCGGAGATCTATGAACCGCTTTCATGTTCTCCAATGCTTCCATTCTCCCAGCCCCCAGAGGACTAACATCTTAACAGCTAAATGGTACCTTATGTGTGTTTAATAGTTTTCAGTTTACACAGACCTCATTCTAAACCTCTGAGCACAGCCTGGCAACCCATGTTTTATGACTCTGATTTGGTGGACAAACCAGCAGTTTCAGGAACGTTAAGCAGTTGGCCCACATCCGGTAAGAGGCAGAGTTTGGACTTCTTACAGCTCCTCTGACTTCCATTTTATGGCTTTCGGATATCCATACGAACCTCTTCTGTGCAGTAATAGTATTAATTCCAAACTGTTCATCATCCAAAGAAGAAATTGTACGATCATGCTAAGCCTATGGGAACGCCATGCTTACCATCCTCAAGCTACATTGGATCTGTGCCCAAAGCTCCTAGGACCATACTGGGAAGATGCTTAACCAGGAGGACATCCACTGTCCTCCAGACCCAGGAGGATCCTGAGAAAACACCTGAGAGCAGGTCGTTGCCATACTGCTCTTCCTAGGGGAACCTGGTGTTCATTCTGCCTCTGGGGTCCCCAGCTCCACTGTCCACGTAAAGACCCACAGATGGAGATGCAGAGAATCAGCAGTTGTTCATAACACATTGGAAACCCTGGTTTCCAAAAGCCCCTTTCCAGCCCAGGAGGCAGAAGTCATATTTTCCTGTTGTTAGAGCACCATCTACTGGTCACTTGTGAGCACATCACTGTGAGCTCAGGTAGCACTCAGGCGCCACACCTCAGACAGAACCTAGACATTTCTAAAGAAGTGACCTCTTGTCATCTGCCCTCTACCCCCGTTTGAGACGGCTGAGGCCCAAACCCAAAATTTCCCCACAATGCAACCAGCACATCTCACAGTACTTGGAAAGTGCAGCCCCACACACTGTGCACAAGGTCAAAACACACACACACACACACACACACACACAATATAGTACAGTCAAATGCTCTACATCAGTGGTTCTCAACCTTCCTAATGCCGTGACCCTTTAACACAGTTCCTCATGTTGTGGTGACCCCCAACCATAAAATTATTTTCGTTGCTACTTCATAACTGTAATTTTGCTACTGTTAGGAATCATAATGTAAATATCTGATATGCAGGATGTACTTTCATTGTTACAAATTGAACATAATTAAAGCATAGTGATTAATTACAAAAACAATATGTAATTACATATGTGTTTTCCGATGGTCTTAGGCGACCCCTGTGAGAGGGTTGTTCGACCCCCAAAGGGGTCGCGACCCACAGGTTGGCAACCCACAGGTTGAGAACCGCTGCTCTACATGCTATCTTTGCAAGCAGTTACCTACAAACTAGAAACCCCAAAGGATCTGAGGAAGCAAGTGAAAAACTTTTCTACGGTCGTCAAAGCTTTCACCCCTTAGCCCCTCCACACCATGTCCCATGCAAAGTGCAAGAGGGAAGGGAATGGGAAAAGGAGGGAGACTAAGGTGGCTACACTCCCTCAGACCAGGTAGGCCACGGGAGCTTGTACTGATAGACAGATGTGCGTGGCAAGGTTGGAGAAGCACGTAGCCTATGTCTAGCTCTTCCCAGATCTGTCAGGCTGTGGGCCATCTCCACAGGAGATTTTCAGCCCATCTCTG